CACCATAAACAACATTTGTAATTGTGTGAAAGATTAATATCTATTGTAGTGCTTTGTACTATATTAAAAAAATAAAAAATAAAAAATTTTAACAATGAAATATTTTTCTCATTGGTGCTTGATTTGCACAAACAACTTATTCTATAAACCAAAACTCACAATTATTGCCCCTAATTTAGTACCATTATTCTAAAAATTTACCTTGACCAACAAGTGCATTTGCTAGACAAACGCATTTAGCAATTACTTATGCCTAATATTCCATCAACTTCACCATTATTAAATTCATCTTAATGAATATTGTCATAGGGCTTTTTTTCCCCTTATTCTCGTAGAACTTACTAATTTAAAAAATGAACCTTATCATCACTATAACAAAAATTGATTAGTTCTCTAATTAACATAACAAATTTATGATAATTCATGAATGATACAACTTAGAATAAACAAGATAGCATTCTAAATTACAAAAAATTTTCATTGGAACATCCTATATTTTCAACTAGAACTTTAGGGGACATAAATTTAGATCTTATTATTTTGAAAACCTAATTTACAATCAAGTTCATTTTTATATCTTTAGCAAATCAAAACTTAACACTTTCACGGAAAATGCTACCCATCACTGATTCATCATACTTTATTATAGCTAATTTTATAATTTTTTACTTAATATTTCCAATTAATCATTGAAAGTTCCCAATTTTTGAGCAAAAATATATTAATGAAGTGGTACACCTTTTCACTAGAGCTTAATATTTTTATAGTAAAACTTAAATTCATATTAAGTAAATTACAACTTTTGACTTTTTAGCCATTCTTGTATTTTTCTCCCACAATAATATGAGTTAATGTTGACACACTAGCTAGTTTTTTTAGCAGATCTTACTCCAAAATTTCAACCAAAAATCTAAATAGTAACATAGTGCATGTTTTCCATTTACAATATGAAGCAATCATGAAATTTGTTGAAATAGTTGCTTTTTAAAACTAAAATTATCAATGTACTGCAAACACAATATGATTCTAACATCTTAATTTTTGGAAATGGCACATTTCTACCATTTCAAGTCTCAAAATTGTAATCAATTAAACAAAATATTTATTCCTTCAGGTCATGCTGAAAATTATCTGCTTAAGGAAGCTAATTGGTCTATGGCTTTTGAGCAACCTTAACTCAAAACTATCAATCACAAAGGGAAGTTAAGGAGATAATATGAACTCGTTTTGGCCAATACTCCATTCCATGGCATGAATCAGTCTTAAATTGCCCAGTCAAGAATAGACCATGTTCGTCACATATTAGTTAAATTCTGAAGATTTAAAGGTTAAACACACAGATGATGGATACTACTTCGCACTTATTATAGAAGAGTTGGTGACAGATTTGTGTGATTCATGTTTCATTGATGTAAATTGGGTCCAAGAGGAGTCAAAGAAGTAGCTCATGAATTGGCCATTTTGCCAAAACATTTGACAAGAGAAGACGGCTTTGCCGTGCTTTTTCTGTGCAAAATTGATAGGTGTTTATTTTATATGTTTTTAGTATGTTTATTTCTTTGTTTTTGGTGTGAAGTAGCGTTTTTAAAGATGAAACTTGCTCTTTAAGGTTCTATTTTTTATAAATTTCATTTTATAGCCAAAATGAAAATTTAAGCAATTTAATGCACAAATGTGGTTTTATTTGTAGGATTTGAAGAGCAGTGATCACGTCAAATCAAGCAGGATTCATGCAAATTATGTCAAATGCAATTCAGAGACGATTTGGAGAAAATTAGACCAACAAATGCAGTTTTTTGGCCTTGAAACAGAACCTCAAAATGCAATCAAGACTTTTTGAACTCTCTTAATATCTATATATTGTAAGAACCATAGAAGAGAGAGAAGAGAGTTTTAGATTGAAGAACTTAGTCCATTTTTTCTCTCATTAGGAGAGAAAGTCTTGTAAAGAGGAATTTGGAGAAACTCTTCATTATACAACTCATTTTGGTGAAGAAGTAGAAAATCTTGGGAGCTTGTGCATCTATTTGGCTAAGCTTTTCTCATCTATCTTGTGATTCAATATGAATTAATGCAATGAATCTATGAATTTTATTGTCTTATTCCATATCATGAGCTAAAATTTTAGATCTAGGGAGTAGATGAAACTTTTGGTACCATAATCTGAGTTGAATGTGATTTATACTTGTTATCTCTTCTATTAACTTGTCCATTTATGTATGTTTATTACTTGATCACCAATAGTAAGTTTTTAGTTATTGTCACTCAATAAAAATTGGTAATAATGATAGAACAAGATAAATGACACTTAAGAAGTAGGCTCACTAGAGTAGAGGTACACTTACGTGGATTTTCTTACCATTTTATGAAATTAAATGACTAGATTTAGTTCATTACCTTGAGAATAGGAAAAACTAAACAAGTTTAAGCCACTACATCATGAGAATGAGTTTTAATAATATTAAAAATTAATCTCTAGTTAAACAAGAGTAATAATAAGAGGTAAAACTCATTCACTTGTAATTTTTGGACCATAAGTGGAATCTACACCCTAGAACTTGAATATTTAATGAATTTTCTCCAAGTATTTCTCTCTATAAGTTGGCTAGTTAAAAAGTAGTAAGTAGGTTGGGTGCTTTTTCTTGATTTTTATTTGATATTAGTCTCAATAATAAAGTAAATTAAGGATCTAGTACTTGTATATTAGTTCCTCATGGAATCGACCCGAATATATTCTAAACTACGAAGTTGGTCTATATACTTGTAGTAAAACGGTGTATTTTGAAATTAAACTTGCACACACATCTAAATCCCATCAAAAATAAAGGGACTAGGGCAGTGACGTACTTGTGTTGTGAAGTAATGATCTATAACATATAAGGAGACCTTGTGACTTATAGAACATTGAGCAGAGGAAAATCCTTTGTATAACATATCACTAGATTAATTTAGTTTCATGAATTAGGTAAGTCCCCTTGTTGCGTAGAAGTTCATTAGAACTTCGTTTGTTGTCTAGGGTGTATTTGAACTCGTCTGTTGTTGTTGCTGCTGTAGTCGTCGTTGTCTTCTGTGTAAGTTTCTTTGTTCGTTGTTCGTAGTTGTACTGTGTAGAACTCTTTTGAAGTTTTAATAAAAAGACCAATTTCCTTTGTTCTACTTTGGCCTTCCCTTTGACATTTTCTTTTTTTTCTTTTTTTTTTGAAATTTTTTCCTTTCAAATCTGGTACCTCATGGTGATGGCTAGCTAAATTCTACATTCTATATCGAAATATTGGTAGAAAGATTGATTTTTTCTTCCCAAAACAAAATTGGAGGTGAAACAAGTGTCTAGGTAGTGAATTGGCTAAAAAAAAAAGTAGTGAATTGGGAATCGACCTTTGAATTTCATTGTTATTTTCAATTTCAAATAATTTTCGTGGTGTTGAATTTTCTAGGTAAAACTTATTCTAAAAAATATATGATAAATTATTCACATATCAATTAATATGATATACACTCAAATGTACCAGATTTAGTGCCTGATAGTTTAGTAACTAATGGATTTAGACTTCAAATTTTAGTTTTCAGACTTCAGTGTTATCAAACGCATGCTATAAGGATTTTTCTAATAAATTGCTAATTAAAGTATACTAAATAAACACTTATTTGGCTTTACTGGACATGTATGCTAACAACTAACAGCGTGTGCACGTGTAGCATATATATATATGCATATATATGTATATGTATGTATAGCTCATCAGAAAAACGTTAAATTATGGGATACCATCCACTAACGTTATACTTTTATCGTAGCATAAGTTTAGTAAGTTAACTACTCTGCAATAAAAAAAAAATTAAAAGTTTGGAGTAGTTGATATTACCTCCATATAAAATTCAAACTTTAGAATTGGCTCTCCGTATAAAAATAATTTGGTTTGGCCAGTCAAATTAATTATGCCACTTCAATTGCAAAGCCTTGGCCTATTATTGAATAAGGTGCAATCCAAGTGCGTGCAAATAATAAAAATTACATCTATTTGTATACAACTATCAAGCTTAATTTGTTAAAGAATTTTATGAAATTAAAAATTTTATTAAAAATTGGACCATTTTTGTTTTTTATGGTAAGGGTAAAGATGATAAAAAAAAAAACAATTAACACCATAGGAGAACTCGTAGTTTGCATATTGTAAGTCAATTAAATCTCTCCATCTACCCATTATTTTTTGGCAGACCAACTATGTCCTTCTTGACCCTTTTTTCCTCTTCATTTGAATTCCTCGCTGATGAAGAAAAACCTAATTGAGGTCATCATACCCTTCACATTTTCACCCAGAAAAACAAAGAAATTTGCCCATCACCTTAAATTTTTGCCAATAAAAGAAAGAAAAATTGCACGATTTCGTCTATGTGGTCACTTCGGGTGTTCCCAACTGAGTGGAAAAGGCCTTTTTCTCCATTGATTACTTTCCTGGGTTCACAGACTTTTGTTTTTACATGCGATGTTTGACAAACTTGGACCAAAACAAAATAGGCCATTCTCGGTCCATAACAATTCAAGAAAACTGTGGAAAGAATTGAATCCATTAAAGCATCTTCCCCCGGCCCAAAAAGAGAGAAAAAGCATAAAGGGCTAAGTTTCCCTCCCTTCGTTTTTCTTTCTTTTTTCTTCTCTCTCTCTCTTTTATTACTTAAATTGGGCACAATCAAATTAGAGGTTTTGGATTCTAATTTCTCAATTTTTTCTTCGCTGCTTAAAGTAGACCTCTCCCCTATTATAAAACAAAGTAAAAAAAGGGGCATAGTGGTACAGAGAAATAAGCAAAAGAAGAAACAAATAGGTCCTATTTGACATGTTCTTACACCAATAATGATTCATAGGGTTGTTTCAATTGAGCAAAATCTTGATCAGAAACGGGACAGACGCAAGAGTTTCATAAACTTTGGTAGAATGTCTAAATCACAAGCATGCAAGAAGCGAGCTGGAGATCAGTGCTTTTTTTTTCTTTTTCTTTTTCTTTCTTTCTTTTGGTTAAGATCTCAAAGCTCAAAATTTGAACTCGACTTTGTGAAAAAATGCATTCCTGCAGCGAATCCTAAAATGAGCAGAAACTGAAGAAGCTTGACAAGGAGTCCAGATGATTTTGCATTATCATCTTTAGGCTCTTTGCTAAGCAAGTGTGCAGTAGCAGCAGGCTTGGGACTAGGCGTGGTGGATGGATCAATCTCCCCAACATAATACTCATCTAGCATTAATCTTGCAGCACTACCATGACCTGCACTCTCGAATTCTTCACTTGCATCCTTTCCTGTCAATTCCACTCAAACACATTTTTTATATTAAAAAGAAAAGTTCTTTGCCTAATTTCCATGATATCCTTTTTAATCTCATCATTTTTTTTTTCTCGAATTCCTCACTTGCATCCTTTCCTGCCAATTAATCTCACCGTTTCATGCATTCAAAACAAATTTGTTTAACCCGTAATGGTGATTGGGCCGATTCCACTCGAACACTTTTTATATTAAAAAGAAAGTTCTTGTCTAATTTCCATGATATTCCTTTTTAGAAGCAAGGATTAACATAGATGTTGCATCATAGATGATGAAATCAAATTCAGATTCTTATTTCCTTCAAAAAAAAAAAAAAAAAAAAAGACTAGGAAACTTTGCACTTGTCTTACCCAAATGATGGATACTAATTGAGTTGCAGACAGCTTTGCATGATCCATGTTTCATCGTCAATTTAAATTGGGTTCAAGAGAAATCAACGAAGTAGCTCATTAAATTGGTCATTTTGCCAAAATATTTGACCCCGTTGAATCTCTATGGAACTCTTCCCCTACTTTTATTCAGCAAAATTGTGCTGGACAATTTCCAACAAATTTAGCGATAAAATTTTTCTTGTTATCAGAAAAATTCCCTCTAAACAGGCCATATTATATATTTGGGAATGAATTAACTCCAGATCACATTGAGGAATAAATCATTTTGTGTAGACAAAAAATGAAAAAAAAAAAATCCAAGTCATGGTTCTGCTGTACCTGCTGCTTCTAGCAAAACATCGCCACCGCCCGGATGGTCATCCAAAAAGTTTGTTACATCATATGCCTGTATGGAAATTGAAGACAGCCTTGCTAAGTGATGAGCATGAGATGAATTCCAAAGTTATCAGTCTTAATTTGCTAGATGACAACAATGGGGAGATCAGCAAATCCTACACCAAAATTGGTCTAAGCCCTCCTTATCTGATTCCATAATTCTCAAACTGAAAAACTGAAATAGCATTAACGTAAATAGCATCAGCTCTGTCACTTTCTTACAGTCCCACCTTCAAATTCGGAAATATTTTTGGCGGAGGTACTTTCTTGAATCCATCCCAGATCAAATTTATTCAATCAAACAACGGTCCAAGAAACTTGTTAACTAGACTGGCTTTGTCGTAAGAAAAATCTATGAATAGCTAGTGCATGAAATGAACTAATATGAGCATAACTTGCTACTCTGACAACTCAGAAGATTATGTATGATCTATAGCTTCTCAAACTATTGGTTTTGTCTCCATTTTCAGAAACCAAAAATTAAAGAAAAAAATTATTTTAGCTCTATTGACACCAAGACCAAATCATGTTAAATCAGGAAGATGAACAGAAATAGTATTTCTTGTTACCTTGGCGTTTATGATGACCCAACAATCTTTGGAAGTGTTATGAAGTGAAACTTCATCATAACCAAGAACCTTGTCATCAGCACCCATAAAGTCTGTTTGCAGAAGCTGGATTGAGAATGATCCAAGCTATTAAGAAGGCTAATCGTTGCTTGAATCAATAATGTTGATAAAAAGCAATTGTGGTTGGTCAGAAGACTGATCCAAAGATATGGATATCTTCACCAGCGTGCGATGAAATTGATGTATTATCTCTGCCTTTCTGTCTTTTGTCCTGTCTAAATTCAATTATTTCCTTTGCTGATGGATACAACAAGGTTTATATAGATGCTGCAACTAAAGAAACCAATTGTACTAGCCATAACTTTTTTGGTAGACATTGATGCCATTTTTTTAATTTATTGAGCAATAGATGCCATCTTTGATTGAGTTATAGATCCCATATAAAATACTTACGTTAGATGCCATCTTTGATTGAGTAATACAGCGTATAAAATACTTAGGTTAGACTTGGCAAAACAATGACATGTCAATGAGATAAGATCATTGTTTATTAGTTTAAGAACATAATTAACTGATGAAATAATACTTAATATTCCTTTGGCACAACAGATTTTGGCCCATTGGCTTTGGAAGTACCCAAATGTGTAGATCCTTTTTCCTTTTGCGTTAATTACTATTTGCGGCTTGAGATTTCACATATCATAACATAACCTCCAATGATCTTATGTAAAGTGGTAATCGTTGGTAGTGTTTAGTATTCAAGTAAAGAAAACATTGGAATTTCTATCAACAACATTATCGAGCATACTTTCTGTCTAATTTTCACTTTATATAAAACAATAAGGGAATTTAGTGGATATTTTAAAAAGAGTGGGGCTAAATCCACATCTCTCTAGTCTAAATACACATCTTTTACACCAAAGTGTCTATAAAGCCCATTCTATTTATCAAGATTTCATAAGAACTTTTTCAATACCAAAACTAACCTTTTGTGGTGAAAAAAAATGGCGCCAATTAAGTTTATTTTTCCCCCACTCAATTGCGTCCTTTCATCATCCCTATTCCTTACTTTCGAACTATAGCAGCAATCAGTTGGAGAACTTTGAATTTCTAGTTCCAAATGAATATGAAATCATTGTCATGATCATCATTTGTTTTTTTTTTTTAATGTCAGTAGATATTTGAAAATCAAGTATCACTCTTCGATTTTTGATCCTAAAATTTTTTTTATCAATAATATTTTTATTGTAAATTTTTGCTATGCTCTGGTACATTTTAGGTGATGATGATAGTTGCTACTATAAGTGTTCAGCATTGAAAGGTAAGGATAGGGGATGATAAAAGGACAGGTAAGTGTTCAGCATTTTTGTTTTTACTATTTTTCATGTATTTTGGACGAATTAGATATAAATATTGTTGAAAATTTTTTTTATTTATGTACTTTTTAAGAACTATTACTTGTTCATGTTTAATTTTAATGTTGTAGTCCTATGAATGTTAAATTAATTTTATAACTTAATAGTTATAGTAATTATATTAAGAAAATTGGGGAGTAATAAGTGAGTTTGGAGTAAATCCGAATGAGGGTCAAAATTCAAATATTTTATGAGTTGAATATGATCTTCACATTTATTAAGCCGAAACTCATGACCCGAATCTCGAAGTATTACAAATAAAATGAGTTAAGTCTGAGATTATGAAAACCCAACTCATATGACCCGATTGACAGGCATGCTCTAGTTCCTTTTCCATGGTATTCAGAGCTGCAATCTCTTTGCCCATGCATATCCTCTTCAAGAAATCAATTCTCTCGGCCACAACTTCAAGAAAAAAAATCGATCTCCTCAGCAAATCTTAACACATTACTATGATGATTTACACATTGTAGTGATCAGGGTTTTCAATGCAAGTTTAATTGAACCTTCCTAATTGGTTTGGACACCTTCCTAAACTTGCAATCCTTTTTGCTGTTTAAAACTTCGTAGACCTTAATGATTTCTTGCACTTCATGTGGCCTTTCAAGCCAAGTGTCGACCTTTCCATTTGAGTCTAAAATAATACAAGACTTGATATGGCACACAATCAAGAGCTACATAGTTTTCTTCCTTATAATTTGATTCCTCTTCTTGAAAATCAAAGTATTGGCTCTCATGATATGAGCCTTTTCTTGCTTCATCACCTATTCTTCATTTTTTTGCTTCATCACCTATTCTTCATTCTTTTGACACTAGTTAAGTTTCCTTATACTATATAAGAATGGGTTTAGGCAAAGATGGTGTTTGAATTTCGATTGCAAGGATGGAACTATTTTGGAAATGTAAGAATGCTTGAAGTGTAATTGAAGCATTAAGTACAAGTCATTATAATTAGCAATGCAAATAATGGGAAGGGTGTGGATTTATCATTAGCGAATAGGTATTTTCCCTAGTTTCCAAAAATAAGTAAATAGAAATACCACGGTTTCCTATTTTACGTAGGATCCTGCCTAGAAAACGCTGGTGCAGTTTCATGGACAGCCTATGGACTTTTAATTGAATTCTCAAGAGTGGTGTTTTACTACAAAAACTCAAGAATAGTATGAGTATTTCATCAAAACAAAATACAAATTAGTTTTTCTTCCTTTTTGTAAGTGGAAAGTCATGAATCCAAGATCTTCTATTTACAATCCCTTCCATTTTATCACCCAACTCAACCCTTTCCCATACAAAACAATATTGGATAGGTAATAGTGCAATTTATAGTGTAAATTGTTTATAAAAAAAGAAGTTAGTGTGTGAATGACATTTGGCAAATAGTGATGTGATTTTAAAAACTTTCCAAAGGTTTCTAACAATTTCATTAAGTATCCTTAATTTTTAAAAATTACACTTGCTTCTATTGATTTCATAGTTATAATAACAAAATCTTAAAATGTATATGAATGCCCTAAAAATTCAATCAGTCTAATTCACTTGCCAAAACAATTATATAAAATAATTTAGCACAATTATTAGGAATGAATGTCGAGTTTTTCAAGCTTTATTGTGGATGCATATTACTGGAATACCCTAAAAATTTGTTGCATTGATTGTTTAAGAGTTTGTCGATTTTCAAGTGGTAGAATTGCCTTTACATTACTACTAGTTTTAGGTATTTTTTATGAGTTATTGTTGATTTTGATGTGAAACAAGATTGGAAAAAAAAAAAAAAGGATCACATTTGAAGTCAACTTTTCATAAAATGTCACTAATTTGATATTTTGGTTTAGGACAAAGATTAGGGTCAATATTGATAGTTCAATAATTTTACTGGCTAAACAGAGCATAAGAATAGGAAAAAAAAAAAAAAAAGAAGAAGAAATATTTCCAAAGCCTACCCTTGGTATGAGCATATACCAATTACCAATTACAAAAAAAAAAAAAATTATTCAGTAAAATAATTTCGTTCCTCAGAGCTAAAGTTGGTAGCACAGCTACAATAGGTACCCACCCATTCATTTTGCTGCAGTCATGCAATGATAAGTTGGAAGTGACAAATAATTTCGACTCAGCTCGAAAGTTAAACAAAAAATAAAAAATACCAAGAGAAACTTTTTTTTTTTTTTTTTGGGTGGCCTTCTTCTTCGTACTTCCAAATATAAACTTCTCAACTCAGAGTTAGATGCGAACCAAAAAAGTTTCACGATTAGAGGTCAATCAAACCAGAAACTATGATCAAGATTCAAATGAATCTCTCTTCAAGAAATCATTTCTCTTGGCCACAACTTCAAGATTCAAATGGATCCCTGTCAGCAAACCTTGAACACAGTCATCTGAGGAGAATTCTTGAAGCCAAGCATCTTGATGATTCATAAACTTCTTGATTTCTTGCACATTATGATCGGGGTTCTCAATGCAAGTTTCAACTTGTGCCAGTTGGTTCAGACACCCTGATATTGCAGTGATTTTTGCTGCTGAAATCTTCACTAGTCTTGATGATTTCTCGAAGTTCCTGTTCTTGAAAGTCGAAGTTTTGGTTCTCATGATATCATCCTTGTCTTGCTTCATCGCCATTCAGCACTAGTTAACTTTAGATTTACTGATTTAGAATCTGTTGGTGCGAAATTTGTAAAATCAAACCTGTTTCCAAATATGAGTGAAGCCAATGAATTGAATAGTGTAGTTTCCTTTAGAGAGCTTGGTGCAGCCTTGTTCCAAATTCAATTCTAATAAATTAACTTAATAAGTCAGGTGATGTAACTTTTAGGTGTTAACTTAATTTGTGACAATAGAAGAAATTGACCACAAACCAATTTTTAATTATGTGTGATATAATTTTTGTCATTAGTGCAGATTTAATGAAAGTACGATTTTTTATTTAAAAAAAAAATTCCTGGGTCTTATACCTAATAAGAAAATGAACAAAATCGATTAACTAATAACTCAAATCAACTTTCGATTTTTATTTAAATCAATTCAGTTTGATGAACTCAATTTGATCCCAATTTAGGTCAAAGTCCATAGAGGTGAAAATTGATTTCGACTACAAACAAAGGAGGACGGGTTATTCATATTTCATTCGATGGTTAGAGGCAAATTAAAAGCTAAGCAGTAGGAATTCTAAAGATTACTTTCATTTAACCGACTCTCATTTGGTCTTGTATCACTATTTTCTTAGAATCGTGAGCATTTAAAATGGTTCAATGATAAACTAGGCCAAGGCCAAGGAAAATGCGTATTTGTTTCGAGTTGATCAAGGTTAGGTGCTAGAAGAAATATAAATTGTCGAAGAGCCCATGACCTAATAATTGGTGTTGAGTTTTATGGAATTATAAATACTGACTTAAGATTTCCTCTTTTCCCTTCTCAAATCTTAAATCTCCCCCACTCTTTCCTTTAAAAAAAAAAAAAGTCTAGATGATAAAAATTAAACTTGACATGACTGGCAATATAGATTAAATCTAAAAGTTCATGGGTATTTTGGAGTATTTTGAAAAGTTAATGGCACAACAGTTGCGCTATTTTCACCGGTGCCATTGAGATCAGCCTTGCCCCCTATCTCATTAGAAAAGAAAATAATGAAAAATAGAAAGAAAGAGAAAGGTAAATAGGTAAAAGTGCAACCCTCTCCCCCACCCCCCCGCCCTCTCTTAAAACTTCAATTTTCTGCTATTGCTATTCTTTTTTAAGAAAATTGCAAATTGTAAAGGAAGAAATGTTTTGTCAATGAAGAAATAGAAAGTGTTACAAATACAATAAAATTGGGGCGTGTAAGTCACATTAATTATATATATATATATATATATATATAAGCCTAGATATACACACATAAATA